AATAGCCCAAGAGTTGGCGGTGGGTGGTGATGACTAGTCTTTCACTGCTAAATTAGGGACCGCTAGCGCAGATAGCCCTTGTGTAGCTTTGCGCGAAATTGAAAAACAAACAGCTCAGTGTTATAACAGTCGTAGCTAGAGAACTGCTTTTTTTAAATGTTGTTTTGTTTTCTCAATCGTATCGATTCGGGATTCTAATATTTACTCGTTTCCAATCATACAGGTTTCGTATCTGGAAGAAACAAAAGTATCTCCTAGATAATTTATCAAGTAACAAGATCAGAATTGAAAAAATAAAAAATATCGTTAACGCATGAAAGATTGAGTAGTTATCAATAATGAAATAAAACCAGATGAAAGTTAGGTTTACTCACTACTAAACCAACAACATTCGCGTTCTATTTTCAAGTTTGCACTACATGTGACGAGATTTGAAAAAAACTATTTCTTTCGGTCGGAAAGGAAAAGGCTTCAGTTATTATGTTTCATCTTCCACAAGGCAATATTGATAAAGTATTTTGAAATGTCTTATAACGGAGTTTCGCAACAATTTGATCTGAAGAAAAACCCGGCAAGAAGCTCAAAATGTCGAAATAGGGCCACTCAAGGACGTTGAATGTATTCATCAACACAAACGTCTCCAGAATATTTTTTAAAGTTCCCACGAGAGGGCTGTGTTGTGAATATTATAAAGAAAGAAAAGTACAAAATTCAAATAAGCCGCATTGATTAAATCACTTGCAAAATACTGATAGAAGCAAGAATTTACCCTACCTTCACACTTCAAAAAAAAAATGGTTACAAGATTTTATGTTGTCGAAACGTATGCATAACTTCCTTTGCGTATTCTAGTGATTGGAGTAACGCCAAAGATTGGGTCAAAGTAAATGATATAAGAATATTGTTTAAGGAATTTTGAATGCCAGGCAGCCCAAAAATAACTTAGTTTAATCCACAACTTTAAAATGTTTGATTTTTTTTAAATTAATTAATACTTAACTTTTACATGCTAGCTCATCATTGTCGATATTGACTATATATTTCATTGCGCAGGCTCAAGGTCACCCTTTGTTCTCCTGAAGAAGAATAGTCAATTATTCGAAAGCGCTCGAGTTTTGGCTCTTATTTTAAGTTTAGTACACTTTATATGTGATCCTAATTCTAACTCTATTAACAAGATTGTCATTTTATTTTCATCATAATTTACGTTATATTTCTGCCAACATTTGCCTACATTATTTAAAAGAAGTAGGTTCTATTTTTCACCATCATAAATACACATATAAGCAGCTCATTATTGAATTTATAGTGCCGGACGTGGCCTACTGTTTAGCGTGTTGAGCTGTGAATCGAAGGTCCGAAATTCGAGCCGCGATATACCACTGAACATGCTTTGCACTTTCAGCTGCGAGGTAACAGTCAATTCTGATATTCGACAAGAATATCCATAATGCTGGTTACCCTCCCCATTGTCACCAATTCTAAATCAGAGATGGCAATACCTAAATCTAAGGGTGGTTGGGTAGGGTTTCTGACCTGACCGTTTGGCCCAAGTGTCACATAAGGTTGAAAATGCCAATACAGTACTGAACTTATAGCCTATTCATACTTGTTGGTGTATCTACTACACCTATTGATTCAGGTTTCAAGTTTATTAATAACATGGTTGACAAAACATTCGCTAACCTGAGGCTACATGATAGAAATGGGATTTCGTAAATTTTAACAGACAAACTGTACGTTTTGTTTTTATGTAGTTTGTTAGAATATATGCGCTTTATTTTCCTCACGGGTAAAGATGCCAAAACTAACTTTAATGGTGGTCAAATCTATGACAAGGATGGGCTACTTTTCACTTTTTATTGTCGTTTTTGTTATAAAACAGAATATATAGTTTATTAGGATATATATTTCAGTACAATAAACCGTTCAAAACTCGTGAAAATTCATTTAAATTCACATCTATAACTTGAAATAACTGAAGGTTATAAATTATATTGAATGAAACGTATTATATGACATGTAGAATATGTAAAAACCAATAATTGCACAAACTGTTCGATGGTCTTTCCTTTAAGATTTTTCTTCGGCAAAATCCTATGTAAGGTTTACAATAAGCAACGAAAATTAGTGATTTGACTTTATTTTTATAGAGCCCTAATCAAACTGGATAAAGGTTGCTCATAAATCTATAAGCGTTACTGTTTAGGTCGTGCTGCTGGAATAAATCTAAAACAGAATTGGGCATTGATTGTCGGAATCAAGTTCTCCAAACGGTTAAAACCCAATACATAACTAACAATAAAATTTTACATCTGCACTCAGAAACCGCAAGAGATACACAATAGATGGCCCGGCATGGCCAGGTGGTTAGGGCGCTCGACTCGCAATCTGTGAGTCGCGGGTTCGAATCCCCGTCCCATCAAACATGCTCGCCCTTTCAGCCATGGGGGCGTTATAATTTGACCGTTAATCACAAGAGTTGACGATGAGTGGTGATGACTAGCTGCCTTCCCTCTAGTCTTACACTGCTAAATTATGGACGGCTAGCGCAGATAGCCCTCGTATAGCTTTGCGCGAAATTCAAAATAAACAAACAAACACAATAAATATACCGATGATCTGGTTTTCATATTATTTGTAATATAGAGAAAGTGACTGGTCTTTATTTTTCAAATAAATCTATCATTTGTCTAATAAGTAAAACTATGGGTAACTTCTAACTTTATGATAAGTTTGTTTCTACCTTTGTCTGCGTGGCATCTTCTGTTAGATTTGTCTCAATCAGCCTGACACTTTCTGACAAAAAATTTTCTGCTTCAGTTTACCTCACAGTTTTTTATAGACTTGTTTTTTATAGACAGATTTCCCATTGTGTTTAAAAAGTTACGGGCTTCCATAATTACTAGTACCGATTTTCAGAACTTTGTATACGTTAAGGTAATTGAAAAAAAAAATATTTTGCTGGTAGACAAATAAAACGTTATTATTAATATTCTCCTTCCAAAGTTTCAATACTGTGAAGAAAAAAAAAGGATACATATGAAAGTGAGGAATTACAAGCCAAGGTTTCGCGAACTTATATCCTTATAATGTTTTTTGTGTTATCGGTCGCATAGTAAAACAAATAACCTATTTCAAGCTGGCGAAGGATGATTATAATTAATTTACTTTTATTCTAGGTGGATATTAAACCAAACTTTTTATGAAGTAAAATATTTTTAATCAACTTCACAGTTACTGTTCAGAAAAATATTACAAAGTAATAACCTTCAGTCAAAACATCTGTTACGTTCGATAACTTAGGGACTATTAAAAAACTGGCTTCTTTTTACGCTATTAAAAGTAAGGCCCCTTTGAAAGGGTTTTCTTTCCAATACACCGCATTGGGGAACAAAGCTAGTTAAGACGGTCGATGAAACCCAAATGCTAAAGTTTAAAGACGACAAATGAATAGGAATAAATTTAGCTCTACACATAGGACAAAAATTTTAAATTTACTTTTCTACATTTTAAACTGCCTATCAGCGAATATAGATGTTTTGTACTCCATAGAATATATATATATATGATTCTTTCTCTGAATAGGATGGTCGAAGGAACGATACATAAAACCTTATGGTCTACAAGTACCTCCGCTTTCCTGCTACTGTTGTTTCTGACTTTCACGCCCGAAATCCTTAAACTAGGATAGGCCATTCCACCATCAGAAGTTGCACAGTTTGAAGTAAGTTATGTCCTCATTTTCAGCCTATGTATCCACTGAAATGATTCTTAACTATATATGTAAATATTTATTTTGGGTATTTGTAGTTTTTATTAGCTAAATAAAATATTTAAAAGTCTGATACAGTCTTTACAAAGTTAGAACTGCTTAAAGGTCAAATAAGCAAAAGAATCTGTCTAGAATGAAGCCATTTGAATTATATAAAACGCGCCCTGAACACTTGGCACGAATATAGAGTCCATGTATAAGGGCTAATCCCAGGACAATTAATGCGTGTCTTGACGAATATATATATAGAAATAAACGAGAGAATTATAATATCCAATGAAAAATAAAGAGTTTACGTATTTTGGAGGCAAACAACAAAAGTATCTTCCAGAGTTGGTAAAGGCTAATGTAGCTATGATATCGAGAGAACACTAACTGTAGCTTGTACTTTGAGATACTCTCTTTTCTTTCTATTTTCAGGACGTCAAAGAAGATTTAAAGCGCACGAGCCCATTTTTTGGTCTCAGAGGAAAAAAGGATGAATTTGATGCCAAAAGATCAAGCTCATTTTTTGGTCTAAGAGGCAAAAGAGAAAATTTCGATGAAAAAAGATCAAGTCCTTTCTTTGGCTTAAGAGGAAAAAAAGATTTTGACGATAAAAGATCAAGTGCTTTCTTTGGTTTAAGAGGGAAAAAAGAAGATTTTGATGATAAAAGATCAAGTCCTTTCTTTGGCTTAAGAGGTAAAAAAGAAGATTTTGATGATAAAAGATCGAGTCCTTTCTTTGGCTTAAGGGGGAAAAAAGATTTTGACGATAAAAGATCAAGTGCATTTTTTGGTTTAAGAGGAAAGAGAGAAGATTTGGATGAAAAACGATCGAGTGCTTTCTTTGGTTTAAGAGGAAAAAAGGACGAATTTGACGACAAAAGAGCCAGCCCATTTTTCGGCTTAAGAGGAAAAAAAGACGAATATGACGACAAAAGAGCAAGCCCATTTTTTGGCTTAAGAGGAAAAAAAGAAGATTATGACAACAAAAGAACAAGTCCCTTTTTCGGTCTACGAGGGAAAAAGGATTTAGATGAAAAAAGAGGAAGTACCTTTTTCGGTCTAAGAGGAAAAAAGTTTAGCTATGAAGATGCGGAAGAAAAACGATCGTTCCATGCTCTTCGCGGAAAAAAGGGCGCCTCTGATATCGAGAGTTATTTAGATGATTTTAGGCACGCTTATGACAGTCAATCTAAAGGGTCCGGAATGCCTTTCTTTGATGAAAATAAAAGAGCTAGATCATTTTACGGCCTGCGTGGGAAGCGAATTGCTGAAAGGAGCAGCAGTGAGGCCTCAAATCAGGTAGGAATATCGAGAGAGTAATGTCGTTTCAAAGAAAATGTAGTCTTAGGAAATTAATAAGTTGTAAGGGTTTATTTCAGACCATATTTTAGACAAACAAAGACTTTCTAAACGGGATTTCTAATCCTTTAAGCACTGCTTGGATATATTTGTCCCAACGTATGGGAAGCGAATTGTTGAAAGAAGCAACAGTGAGGCCTCAAATTAGATAGGACTTTAGAGAGGGTAATGTTGTTACAAAGAAAATGTAGTCTTAGCAAATTAATAAGTTGTAAGGGTTTATTTTAGACCATATTTTAGACAAACAAAGACTTTACAAACGGAAGTTTTAACCCTTTAAGTACTGTTTGGTTATATTTGTTTGTTTGTTTGTTTG